TTTTGCCGTATGAGTATACGTTGCCAAGGGTGCATCACGTGGAGGTAAGTCTATCGCACACCCCGCATTTATTAATAATAGTGTTGCTTGATCGTTAATTTGCTAAAATTTTCTGTTTCCTTGTTAACACAACCAAGTCAAGTGATTTAAGTAAATTGCAAGACCATATTATTTTTGAGTTCCCTTAAATGGACATTCTGTTTTTTACTTGAATACACGTCTAAGTGGTTTTCGGTTTAATTAGCATTTAAAATCACTTTGTTCTTTGAGTCAGTGATAGAATCTTCTAACTTAATTCTCTGTTTCCTTAGAGAGTTTTTCTTGTCTTGTGAATTGGGTATTGCCAAAATAGACGTGGTGGTTTACCTTTCAATCTCTACTTTTGTCTTCTCGTTAGTTGACTGGAGTAAACTTCAAGTTTGTTGCACACTTTATTATACACAAGCATGTTTTTGCAATAATTATTTCGTCTACAAAGTAAAACACAAAACTTCAGGGTTGAATGGGTGCTTTAATGGAGTAAAAACGGTCCTGTTCCGCTTAAAATTTCGGGGCATTTAATTTTTTCTATTTATGCTAGGAGTAGTATTTGAATTTGCTGTAGGCCAACAATTCAAATCTTAATTTTTTTGAAAAATTTATTGAACTGAATTATTTTTCATGGTAATGCAACTTTTAAATAAAACCTAAAAAGTGTTTGCTTGCCTTAACTATCTCTCAACAGAAGACCATCTACGCTAAACATATAAGTAGGCACCCAAGGGTTTTGTAGGTTCAAAATGCACTATTAATATACATGGCAAATAAGTTATTAAGTCTCAAAAACTACCTCTTATCTGTGATATTTTTTACCATGAATTACCATTTCCAAATTTAAAAATATCTGAATTTATTTTAAATGGCAATGCATCTTGTACACAAATAATGTGTTTGTTTGTCAGGAGTAAAAATATTCGTACTCCATAGTGCTCTTATCTAAAGCACCAGTTCACCGTTCATTAAAGAATAATAATAATAATAATGTGATTTAATCTATTTTATATGCTGAGGTGGTTCATTATTATGATATATGTGGTTCCAGTGCTAAAACTCAATAGGAAATTATCGCGTATTTTGTTTGTATAAGAACATTGACCTAGTAAAAATAGTTGAAAATATCGCCTTTTTGAGTTATATATATTTTATTTCAATACTTATTAAATTAAAGTGAGTTTCGAAGAACTCAGTAAAGAACTAAGTGAATTACTAATTTCTTTTGGCCTAATCAGATTGTAATTAATAAAAAAAGGATTGCACAATATTTCATCTAACCGTTTCACTCACATTATAATATTTTAATTAAAACACTCATAGCCGTTTAACTTTCTTTCGCAAACCAAGTCGTTATCAATGCAACTGAAATTTAATTTGCTAAGTATTTTAAAAGCTTAGATCATGATAAATCAAAAGCTAACTTGACTGTGGTGAAAGTTGGCTTATTATAAGCAATTAGACTTAAAGCTAAATATATTGAAGCAACGTGTTTCTTGTAGCTAATCTGCTTCCGGAAATACAGCAGGCTTCTAAATTGCGGCTTTAAAAGTTTATTGGACTAGCAAAAATATGATCCAATACAAATTGTATGCTGTCGCAAATAGAATGATCTCTTCCAACATGGATTTTAAGCTTCTTTATAGAGAGCTCTTCCATTGGAACTTGTTCTATCTGATAATATTCCTTCTCATTAGAAATTGTTCTGACGATTTAAAATTCTGACCAAAAGGCAGATACATAAATGAACCCCGAAATTGTTGTGAATAACTCTCCGCCATTATTTGGATCAATTCTAACAGGTATTACCCAAGAGGATATCGATGAAAAACGCCGGGTCCCCGAACGTGAAATGCTTGCAGCGATGGAGCGCTTAGTAAGAACCGGCAGTGATCTGAACAAACTTGATAGCCAAGGAGCAGCCCCGGTATATTTTTTGAACTTTCACTTTTAAATACCGCTATTTTATCAGCTTGCTCTGAAGTTTATTGGTTAAATTTTCTTTACATTTATGAAATGCGAATTTTCTCAGAAATATTTTCAAAGTTAGTAAATTAGTTTATGTGTGGTAGTTGTTTGCATTACCAATTTTTATACCCCAGAGCCATTTGTCAAGGATTTGATTGTCCCTCGCGTCACGCAAGTCCCCTAATGATGTAATGGCTTCGCCAATACAAATAATCATAAACTTACTCTTTAAAATATTATTTATGAGTCTATAATACAGAATAGTATTTAAAAGTGGTCGGTAAATTTTAAAGTCAGCTTAAACTTTCACTTTGCCAGGACCTGGTGGACAAAGCGAAAGTCCATAATTCAGCATACTTTCGCATTCACTTTTTTACTAATCTTCATTAGACTATGTTGAAATGAACTTTGTCTAACACATATCTCTCCTAGATTAACTTTAAAATGCACTAAGTTGAGATGTTGAATATCAAAACTGCACAGATTTAAATATGGCTTTTCTACTTCTTTTGTCATGTAGTTGCATATAGCGGCGGCATGTGGATACCTGGATGTAGTTGGATTTCTACTTCAACACGGCGCGAACATCGATCTGCCTGATCGTGACGGTTGGATGGCCATCCATGTTGCTGCATGTTGGGGACAGGTGCTATTTATTCTCTCCTCTTGATAAAGTTTTGATGACATTCAATTGAATGACAATGATCACATAGAAGATTTTTCACGCCTTTGTTTGAATATATTGAAGATAAATATTAAGGCAAATTCTATTAAATCAGTTGAAGAGATGGTTGCATAGAAGTAGTAATAGAAGCATAAAGTTTAAGTCGAATTCGACTGCATAGAAAATGACCTATTTTAAGGACATGTTGCTAAAATGAAGTCAAATGTATGGCCATTAAAGAGATGAGAAACCACTTAAGTGCGTTTGTACACACGGGGATTATAGTTCATATTAACTACCCGAAGACGTATGAGTAGGGCTAAATGAACATATACCTTGTTTCTAATAGAACTTTTGAGTTTTAGTACTAAATTTCAAAAATATTAGATCCATCTTATGAACATTTCTTTAATTTTATACATTTTAGGAGAGGTTTCAATATCTCAGTTTATCTTCCTTTGTGAATGGAAACATATTAATTTGAAGCTTTTCGTCAAAGTTATTTGTGATTGGCGTTTTTGGCAGATTTTATCAAAGTGGTTTTATGAAAGTTGCATCGTATATATATATATATATATATATATATATATGGGTACTTAATTATCCTTTTAATTTATTACTAGCGAAATC